CCAGTAAAATGCTCAAACTCACTCACCCCCCTCAACCAACCAAACCTACCACCATTTTACCTGATAATAGTCTTAATCAATACTATATAATCGACTGCTAAGGAAGTCTGATGAAAATCCTAAATGACAACCATATCAATTTGGACTAGAACAGAAAACATCATTTCCAACACTAATAATGTCTCTTTTATTGTTTCTCTCAAAACAAACAAAAAACCAAACCCCATTTCCTTTTTTTGCTGCATCTGTAATGATTAGTTCTGGTGATCTCTTTCAATTTGCTAGCTGTACATCTCCTTTTGCAACATGTCTTACAGAGATACCTGAAAATACAGTTCTACTGATGGATTAAGCTGCTCTGCCAAATTGGCTGGCTGCTCACAGCTGCTCAAAAGGAGGATCATTTGTCATGGTAGCCTTCAGTTGAAGGAAACTGCCGTGTCTTGTCCATGTCATGTGTCTCCTGTCCCATTCGGGTTGCAGTAATTCCCTCACTTGTTGAGTGTTACAAACCACAGCACCGCTCTGGTTTACTCACGCTCTACATTACACAAAAGCAGGGCCATTGTTTCAGTTAACTAGGCTGGACAAATCTGCAAGGCTCTGCCTGTGTGTGTGCCTTTGGGACCTGTGTTTGATCACTCTGGGACACCAAAGCTGTCAACCAGTGAAACTACTTCTGCAGCTTTGGTTTTCTGCTACTTGCTTGTTCTTTTTCAGATTATTTTCATGGTTGGCCGAGGGTATGCTTCTCCAGACCTCAGTAAATTGTACAAGAACTGCCCCAAAGCAATGAAGAGGCTTGTAGCAGATTGTTTGAAGAAAGTTAGGGAAGAACGACCTCTGTTTCCACAAGTAAGTGTGTTTTCTGCATGCAAGTTTCAGAGTATTTTAGTATTTTAGAGTATTTTAGAATATTTAGAGTATTTTAGAGTATTTCAGTATTTTAGAGTATTTTAATAGCCATTAGCACACAAAACATTCTATGCAGATATAAGTTTTGGTTTATATAATGTGTAGCCTGCTTCCTATTTTTGTCTTTGTTCATAGGAGCATTTTTCATAACCCAGGTCCCTTAGGCAGTTTGTCATTCTGGTTGTACATAGTTCCTGTAAAGGTCATTAAAAAATATTATGCATGCAGACTGCAGCAGTGTTAGACTAACACTAGAGCAATTAGCTTTCAACAGCTGACCTGTTTTAGAGATAAGTAAAAAAAACCCTGAAACAATAAAAATCAAATCTATCTTTGTGTTTGCATTTTATTTTAGTGAAGGATTGAGAGAAATGAGAGAGCATTCCTCCTTTCCTTCCCCACAACTGTGAACAAGCAAACAAAATCCACTGGGGGATGTAAATTCATGTAGCAATTTTTGGTATTTTTATAAGGGATACTTGTATTACCTTTTCTTATAGCTATGAGAATGATGAAGGTACTTTCTTATTAAATAGCTTGAATTAAATGTCAGCAGATTTTTGAAAAATAACTTATTGCTGTTACAGTAAGTAGTAACTTCTGTGGTTTAAAAAGTTCTTTCTCAATGTCATTTTGTAAACAGACTGTTAGGCAGAAGATGCAGTTCTTTCCCTGTGATTCTGTTGGAGAATTGCACAGATGCTTGTTGACTGATCACAATGTCTGTGAACTAATGCAAAGTATCCTCCCACCCTCTGAAACTCAGTGAGACTCCTCATAGCAATGAAACTGTGAGGCAGTTTGATTGTTCAGACTGGGGTATTCTGGAGTGTTGTTTTCAGTGCCTCCACATAGTGTATTGTTGCTCTTGAAGATATGCTTAAAGCTGTAATAAATGAAGGTTCAAGACTTAAACAGAAAGAGCTGCTTGTGTAACAAACCACCTAATTTTATGTGTTTCCCTCAGATACTGTCGTCCATTGAATTGTTGCAACATTCTTTACCCAAAATCAACCGGAGTGCTTCTGAACCATCTCTGCATCGCGCCGCCCACACAGAGGACATAAATTCATGCACATTAACATCCACGAGACTACCCGTGTTTTAGGATCGTGCTCCCCTTCCCTTGTTCTCTCCAGTGATGGGAAAGGAACAGAAGTAACAGAAGTTGTGCTTTTAATGCCTCAGTGTACAGGATCAGTGCCAGCAGGATTATCCGCGTCCCAGTTTTAAGAACAAGCTGCTAAGGATTTCTGCAGTTCTTACCCTGCAGGGACACAGCTCCACCTTGCCTTTTTCTACGTTTCTTTTACTGGGATAGTTAACAGACTGTAAATCAAGAGATCTATTACTATTTTTTTAATAGATGCACTTGAGCCTTATTTTTCCCATACACAGAAGCGATGGATGTTTCTTTGGCAGTGTTTCTGGATTGATTTGAATCTGTTGATAAACGTATTTTTTACAGTGAGGAGGGCTTGCCTCGGCGTTTGAGGAGAGATGAGGCATTATGGTGCTCCTTGACTCCCCCTGCCAGAGGCCGCTTCAGGCTGGGGGGGCTGCCTGAAATGGGTATCTGCAAACAACACTGAGGGAAGAGGAAAAAACTTTCTGGGAATCAGCTCCTGCCTAAGAGCTTTCATCAAGCCAATGAATAAGTTAAAATGCTAATTCAACACAAAATAGTTTTGCAATAGTTTTGCACATAGAAGAAAAACTCTTGCAAAAGAATGGAATATATTCTGAATTGTACTGCTCAGAGAAGGAAGCTAGCCAGTCTTGCTATGGTCATCTTCAGTAACTTAAGCAGCTTACTTTGGTACTATTGACTTGTTTCTTGCAGCCCAATGAGGTGGTAAGTGCAGAAAGACAGGCTTTTTTGGCTGAGAAAAGGCTAATTAACATTATCCGTATACTTCTGCAGAATGAGCATAGTCTTCATCCCATCTGAAGCTGTCGTCCAAGAGATGCACTATCAAGAGGAAACTGAGCATATACAGTTTTTCTTGCTGATTTGGGTTTTAATTTTGTTTTTATTGCTCCTGAGAAAATGCATTTATTGTAAGCCAAGGTTCCTCTGATTATCTTATTTTAATAAAATAAATTAAATTTTAGGTTTAAGATTCAATGTCATCATTTAATGTCGTCATCCATAGTTCTGACATGTACATCTCCATTTGAAAAACGCAGAAAATTACATTCTGAACAATGTTTAAAAAGTTGCAAGGATAGGTAATAGCAGTTCAAGTAAAAACACATTTGATGAGACAACCTAGAGGCTTCAAATCACTTCCAGTACAGGATGGTTTTTATTCTACTGTAATAATCTTCCGGCAGCATTTACTTAAGATACCTACGCTGATGTACTACCACGTTATTTACCTGCACCAGTTCTGCTTTGCGTTTTATCTTCTGTGAACTTGTTGCTTACTTAGGTAGAAGGGAACGTTTTGGCTTGGCTGAACTCCACAGAGGACAACCACCAGGTGGTTTAATCTAGGAATTTATTTTTTTAAACAGCATTCTGTTTAAGTATGTTGATTAAGGAAAGAATGGAAGCCAAGTTTCCATTCTTGGAATAGCAGCTTGGGATTTTGTGTCATTCTCTGCCCACACAGACAAGTATGGGGCTCCTGTCTAGTGAGTGAAGAGGCAAGATGTCTGTAACCACTGTTACCATCTCAGTCTAAACAGCTGCCTAAAATGTGTTAGGCAAAATACTTCTGCTGTGAATTTTGACAGCTTGCATGTGTGACCCTTAACTGCCTGTAGTGTCTAAACAGCTTCTCAGTGGCAGCAAGGGAAAACCCCCTAACGCACCTATGAAAGGAAAGAGGAACTTGAAGTACATAAACCAGACACGCACTTAATAAATAGTATCTAGACCTTTTGTCCTCAGAATATTGTATAATGTTACAAGAAGGGTGGAATAGTAATCCTTAGGTGATAATTGAGCATAACCATAAAATGTCCTTGCTAAAAAGTAAATTGAGGGTTGGTGGAAACTGTTCCATAATTCTGCATGATTTTTATTAATAATCTTGGTATTTTAACTGCAACCTTCTCCAAACATAATTTATCTCTCATTTTACCTCCATTATAATAAGTTTAAAAAGGAAAAACAAAGGAGAAATGGTAAACTGCTTTTACTTTAGCTCTAAGATCCAAAAAGAAACCATTAACTCCTCATTTTTAAAACAGGTTATGTGTCTCTTGAAAAATTAAAATTTTTTGATAAATAGGCTTGTTTTGACTAGCACTTGATTTCAAATTAAAGCTGCTGAGTAACAATTTAAAAGGTCCAAGTCTTACTGCTCTTAAATTAAAACTTTGTTTTTTCAGAGCTACCTTTGAAAAACAAGTTATCTTTTTAATTTCAGACTACTGTTACCTGGTTTATGTCATCTTGGGGCAAAGTAAATCAGGAATGTCTTGTTGAAGGTAAAGAACATCTCCTCCCTTAACTTTTTTGGGGTCTATTTTATTACTGAAAATATTCCTCTCTGGAAAAAAAAAATAATAATCATGCAAGACCAGGTACAAACAAGCTTCAGCAGGGAGGTAAGGGCTGTTTAAGTATTTTGGGGTAAAGTATGCCTGGGCAAGTGCTCTTGAACATTAATCTTAGAGTACTAGATCTCTCTTAGTGATGCTTTATTTTCCTCCACCTTTGTAAGCAGTGATGAGGAATTACATTAATAAGACTTCCTAGAGTCAGACTTTAACCGGCACCCTCAGCTGCCAGTTCTGACAAGCGGTGTTAGACTGACAGGCTGAGGCCTGACTTCCCAGGAAGAGTTGTTAAAAATTAACTTCAGGAGGGAAATAGTTGTGGAAAAGTTACATTTCCTAGGTCAGAAGAGAGAGAACAGAATTTGCAATTTGAGGGAAGTGTTGGCTGGCAAAGAGGGGTGTTCTCCCTCTTCTGTTGGAACCTGTACTGAAATGCAGCATTTCCATCCAGAATGTTTCTCAGCTTCAGTTTTGACCCAGAACTGCCACCCAACACTTGAAGCAGATAATCCTGTGGTCGCTCATTTGGCGCCATTTAGAAACATTTGAATCCCAGATTAAGGTTCCTGCTGTTTGCTTTATGAGAGTGACCCAGATCCTAGTTTTTCATCATCAAAGCAGCGCCCTCCATGCTGTGCTGATGTAAGGGGTTTTGCACAAGTGTCTCTAAATACACTTGGCTTCGCAACACAAATAACTTGTGTCGCCTCAACAATGAAGCTTTCTGAAGCGTTAAGCAGCCGAGCAGCCCTTCCAGGGTATGTGCGTTGTCCTCAAGCCATGGGTCTACTTTAGGGTTGTGTACTGAAGGTGCTGGAGAGAACTCTGCTGTACCATGCCGTGGTTTAAAGCTGGTACTGAGCTGCTGTGTCCAGCCACCTTCAGTGTCACTCAGAGGGACCGTATCTGAGCTCTGCCTCTGCTTTCAGTAACAGCATCTGCCAGCTGCAGCTGCTCCCAGCCTCTCCTGGGAGAGGGAAAAGCCTAAGCAGCTACTGGCCACACAGGTCAGAAAACCTTTAGTTAAAACTAAGAGTTTTGGTTTTATCTGAAATTATTTAGTTACTTTCTTTAATTTTGGCTACTTGATTTAACTGAATCAGGGTTTCCCTTCCAGTTAAATACATCTGAACTAATTAAATGGAACAATAACTACGGCTGTTGCAATGACTACGGAAAGTAATTTGTTACTCTCGGGCTCCAGCTTCCAAAATTCAATTTGTGCTGTAAGTTTAAGGGAGCTGTATGTCGCGACTCCAGTGTTGCTCTGCCTGATGCTCTAAGAGACATTTCTTGCCACTACACACTTTAATTATTTCAAAACAAGGGGAGGGACTTGTGCAGTCTTGGAGAGCAGTGTGCAGGCATGGTGTAAGAATACAGCAAACTGTTCTGAACTCTAGGTACTACTTTGAGGTATAATGTATTAGTTCTTAAATCTCCTTTTTAAGGAAGAAAAAGCTACGCTGACCATTATTCCCTGTGGGTTTTTGTAGATGCACATTTAGTTGATTTAGTGAAAAGAAAAAAAAAAGCACCCAAAATAGATTCAGCAACAGTTTTTAGCAGCTTAAGCTTTAAATGGTAAGAGACGAGCTGTATTTACACTACTGCTCAGCTCACAAGACAGCAGATGTTAGGCCCAAGAGGGAGCAAACCCTCTCGGGATTAAGGGATTTTTTCCATGCAATCAATTTAACTTTTAAAATAGATTTTAGTACTGTTACCATACAAAAACGATCTGAAAACTTTACCAGGACTGCACAAGTAAACCACAGGGCACATTCATCCTAACTGTGCTGTAGAAAGTAAAAGCATGGCTAAATAAATAGCTACATTGCTGTAGACAAAAACACCTTTAGTTCTCTTTATTGAGAAGTAGCAGAATCCTCATCGGCCCCGGAAAGGTGCATGAAAAGTTCTCCAAGTTCTGTTACTTCATCGTCCGTGCTGGTCACAGTCCTGCTTTCTCTGTCTTCAATAAAGTCCCACAGACGAACGGAATTGAAGAACTGGAATAGAAGAAAAACTGCCTGAGCATGAACTGGTCACACTTCCACCAAAACATTTTCCCTTATAAGTCTTAGTTCATTTTAAAAAAGGCAGAAGCTGAGATTCAGAAGCTGGGCTTGCCCTAGGATGTACCGGCACCGCCAGTGGTTGTTGTTGAGCACGAAGCACAGCTGCTCTCTGCAGTGCTGCAGTGCGAACACAGGGGGGGTCAGGCTGAAGCAGTAGCCTGCCTGGACCAGTGCAGGTGGCGGCCAGGCCATCGTGAGTTTTTCAGAAGACTTTAACCTTTTCAGTTGGTCTTACTGCCAGCTCTGTGCAGGCACGTGAGGTGAGTTTTTAATGCTGAGTGAAAGCTCTAACAGCAGAATTCCCCTGAAGAAAGGCCTGCCAGGAGAAGGGTTGGTTGAAAAAATGCAACATGAATTTTTGCTCTTAAACGAAAGGTGCCTTTTCCTTTCCCTAGTAACAAACCTTTGCCTCAAGGAAAACTGAGGGGTGCTTGCTTCACTTCTCGGAGGCCCTGCATGGTATGAAACATTAGTACACTTTGCATTCAAAAGGTGGTTTTGGCTACACTTGACCAGAGTACTCCCTTACCCGCACAGTCCCCTCAGAGCTGAGCTGCTTCCTTGGCTTTTCAGGTTCAGCTCGTGTCCCATCTGGATAAGCATGAAGGTAAAGACACTTCCCTCCAAACGGACAAGTTCCTTTCCCTTGTTCAAAGTACTTGCAGGGTTTTTTCCTGATGTAATTAGAAGAGAGTGTTATTGCCTTCAGCTGGCCAGGAACTAGACACAGTTCACACTCCACAGCTGCTTATCCCACCCTTAGCCAGTGCTGCCAAGTACAGCTCCTGGTAACACACCAAGGGCTTTGGTCTCCCATTCCCTCGCTGATAGCAGTCAAAACAGATGGGGAAGGTTATTAAAGGGGATCAAAGAAATACCTGAAAGAACACCAGCGTAAGTAAAAAAAAATTCTAGTATCTCAAAACATGGGAAAGTGAAGGACATTCAAGGAATGTGAGTGATCAGATGCATTTTCATCAGAACGAACAAATCAGTTGCTATTTTTCCAGCACCATTCCTCTCCTGTATTTTCTACCACTACATTTTTATGAACCAGTTCCTCTCATCATCTCCTTTGGAAGTTCTATGACAACAGTTTGTTAATTTAAGCTTCCATCAGCTTTGTTGTTCGGCCAAACTGCTCTAGCTGCATAGCAAGTTTTTATAAAGATGTACAACAGTACTTGGGGACCGGGGGATTGGTGGGTTGTTCTACAATGAGAAACAGCCAAGAGGAAACAACAGAGAAAATGCAATTGAACTTGTAATTGTAATATGCAAATAGTGATGAAACTGGTTCCTAAGACCTAGATACTGTCTATGAAATAGGAACTAAATGGTGAAGAAAGCTAAACAATACCAACCCCCAACCAACCAGCCAAACCCCCCACACCAGGCAGTGCACTAAAAGCAGAATGAATTTGTCCTGGGTTGGAGCTCAAGTGGTCTGTGACTTCAGGTTTCTAGGTCTGACTTTTTTCTTCCTGCGCTGGCATATAAATGGGAATGGATTTGTGCTGGCACAAGCCCTGCACTTAGCTCAGACTCCACTTTATCAGCATTTTTTCATTCCATGCAATAAAGTCCTCAAGTTAAACTGCCAAGAGATCTATCCATAGAATTTCTGTACCAAAGCCGTTTTTATCTACAGCACAGTGTCTTAGCTGAGCACTTAAGCAAAACCCCTTTTGGATTCTCTTCTATAGAGGTTGACAAGAGCCAAACCCAACTTCCAGCACTACTCGACACCTCGATGCCAACAACACCAAAGTGTCCTGCACCTTACTGAGAATACAGCCATTTAAAAACTGCACTAAAAACTGAGCACAGCTTACTACCACCAATTCAAAGTCCTTATGAATTAAAATGAAAAAACAAACCAGCAATAAATAGGCTGTTGAAAACAAACCTTATCTGAAGAATCTCAGTTTAAAGTGATTAATTTTATTCCAGTATTTTGCCTGACTAAGATAAAAGAAGGCAGGATGCTGGATTAAATGTTTAATGGAGCAGTACCACTTTCAACAATTCTTCTGCAGTGTTGTAACAGGACTCGAGAGAGTTAAAGCTTCCCAAGCAGCTGAAGAACTAGTAGCAACAGCTGTGCACAGATATAGGTCAGGCCTATCTTCCTGTGTACTCCAAAGGGCACATCTAAGGTTTGTGCACATCATATAATAAAGCTGCACAACTTGTAGCAAAACACTCATCCCTCACTCAGGTCAAGCACAGCACTGCTTGTTTACCTTAAAAAGAGGGAGCAAGGAGATGAGGAAAGGTATCCCGCTGTTCTACAAACTACACAGCCCTTACATGTTTCAGGCCAGCACAGCTTTGCAAAGCTGCTGTAAAACTACCCATCAGCAGACCTCTGCCAGTGCTCCAAGCACCGGGCAAATTGTTATCCAACAATAAAAGGAATGCAGTCGTGTAGTATTTTCCATTTCCAGGAGACATTACAAAAGCCCTGTGAGTTTTTACCCCATGTTTCAAGAGACTATTACATTTTCCTTCCCCATTTGTTTTCCTCAGTAGCTGACAACTTTCCAGACAGTTATGTCGAAGGGATCAACAGAAAATGCATGAAGCCAATTTTGGGAAATTAACTGAAATAGCTTCCCCATTTCAGAGCACAGTGAGTCTGAATAATTTCTGATCTATCGTTATGCAACAGACCCTTTCATGGCAGTCAGAAAGTTAAATAAAAGTGTTACCAGAGATTAAGAGTTCCCTGTAGAAGGGTTTGTAATTACATGAAGTTTAAAAACGATTAACATTTTGATTAACTAAGTCTTAGCATATCTATCTTAAGGACAATGTAAACAGTGCTTGTTGTTGCTGAACTTACCCCACTCCCTGCTTAAATGCTTCAATCAGCTCATTTTTCTTCTCCTGATCTTCTACCCAATAAGCACTGGGAATGACAAACTCAGATATCACACGGCACTCCGGGCAGGACCTTAGTGGATCAAGACAAAACAGCAATGCTGTTACTTTCCAGGAGTGATACTCCTCAATGTATTTGCCAGGACCAGCAGTGTCCTGAGGGGAAGGGAGATGGTTTGTCACAGCGAAGCAGCAGACCCCTCCTCACACATTAGTACAGCACACGTATACATTTGGTTTTAGTTTCAATTGAAATAATCCAATCCAGCACGCTCGGGGCTCGCACGACCTCGCGTTTGTTTCTAGACTTGAAGAAACGTAACAGGTATTTCCTCAACACGCAGAAATAACCTGCATTTGCTAGTCCCAATACGCATAAATAAACCATAATTATCATGTGAGTACTGCAGCATCCACACAGCCGAGCACCAAATCAGGTGGAAAAAGACAAAGGAAGGTCTCTAAGCCTTTCAAAATGTGATCCAACTTCTACCAGCCATGATAAATTGTGTTCACTTAGTGGTTTTACCAGATGGATTTCTTATGTGAGGAACTAAGAATAAGAATCAAACATGCAACTTCAGGTACCTCAACAAGCCTAGGAAAGGCTTTACTGCCCCCTCCCCATGAGTCCCATAAAACACCTTGTCTCCCTACAGGCAGTGCTTTTAGAACTAAGCCAAGTCCCTCCTCCAGATTATTTTTGCAACAACTGGTATGTTCACCATTATGGAGAAATGTGAAAAACGTTCTTGAAGAACTCGTAGTTAATCCATACTCAAAATGGATTCCAGGGCACTGTTTCTGAAAAAAAAAATATCCTCACAGTCCCTACTGTAGGCAGAGTATCTCAGCACCAGTCCAACAGAAGCTCCAATACTGGTTACGTGCTAACGAGCTAATGTTCGCTTCAATGAAATGTATAATGAAAGTGGTGCAGAAAATCTGTTTTGGCAGAAGACTGAGAATATTTCCCGCTTTTACAAGCATGCTTGTAACTTGAGAGTTTTCAAAGACATGCTCAAAAAGGAAATTGACTTAGTTGGATATTTTAAATTTTCTCATCTGAGAAGGAGCATGGTTGGAATACATTTTTTTACAGAGTTAAAAGTCAAAGGCATTTACTCACAGATAAATGTGTCATCAGTGGGAAATTTAGTTTGAGTAAGCTACAATTTAGAGAAAAATCCAGTAATTAAGCACATACATAAGAAAAAAGGAGTTACTGTTTTTGCACACAGGTTACTGTGAAGGGCACAGGTTAACACAGTCTCAGCTGCTCCTGAGTTCCCACTGTTGACGCAGTGAGGGAGGGTGAAGTTGCAAAGGGCCAAACTCCTCCCAGGCAGGACAGCAGCATGTGAGTAAACTGTTACCAGAGGATACCCGACGTGTCCTACTGGTCTTGAAAGTAGTTCCCATAGCCACACTCCAGCATCCTGGAAGTTGCCAGCAACTGGACCATGATTTTCTGAGCTCAGATCTTACGAATAGCTATGTTAAAATTTACAGCTTCTGAATTCCTTATCACCAGTTTTATTTGTGTATTCAAAGCACACTGGAGAGCCCATCTCACGGGTGGCACAGGCCACAGAGAAGAGACTTGTTAACACCAACTTACTTTATGATTGGATTCTCGAACTGCTTGGCACATCTCCACTGCCGGATGCAAGACAAGCAGTACGTGTGATTGCAGTTGGAAAGGATCCCAAACCTCCTCTCGGATGCTGATGGTTTCTCGTACACCACTTCCATGCAGATACTGCACACCTTGTCCTGACTCGCCTGAAAGGCAAAGGCCTTCTCCATGTCGTGCTCAAACGTCGCCATGCACATCTGTCACAGGAGAGATGTCACTGGTTACTGCAGCCCATCTAACAGCCTGTTCCTTGCAAAACAAAAGTGTCTATGAAAGCAACCTATTACAGGAAAAAGGGATGCTGAATAAGGGTATCATTCCTACCCTCCATCATCATAATTTAATTTTAAGGACATTAAATTCAGTCACGTTATTTCAGCCCTTCAGTGCCCTCTGCGGCTTCAGGAGTATCAGAAGTAAGGCTGCCCAAACACTCGTAATTTACACCTTTCTGTATCTCTGCTGCAGAACAGGAATTGCAAAGGAGAAGCTTCAAACACCTCTAAAAAATGTCTAATTCAGGGTCCAAAGCAGCTGCCACACTCAAGATGTGACTCTGCTTATCCTTAAGGCCACACTCATTCACTGGATACTAAGCTTTACCCTAGCTAAGGATTTAGTCTCTTAGTACAAGCCTTCCTACAGCACTTCTCATCACAGTATCCTGGTAGTGACAGTCAATAACCAATTCACACGCTCACAGCACTACACGGTAAGCTGGTGGTTACACCTGCGTAGTTTTACCTCTTACTTTCCAAAGTTCTCAGGACTTGACAATTAAAATAAATTTAAGACTTTAAATCATAAAAATAGTTTTTAAAGGACAAAAAATACTTCCAGCATTAGTAGCAGCATTTTGACTAGTCACCTTCTGACCCAACACCCAGCTCTGCTCCTGGCAGCTGGCAGCAGCCGTGACAGGACACGGTGCCAGATACCAACAAGCTCCCGGAAGAAGCAAGAACTCGACACCAGCACGTTTTGCAAGCATATGCTGACTGCACAAAAAACGAGGTTCTTAACCCTCTGGATTCTACTCCACACCTCAGTGGTTCAGTAACCACAAACACTACTGGTCTTTCTCCTCTTCTGCCTTGAGAACTCCTGTTCCTGACCACCCTTGACCTAAACCTGAATAGCCAGGCAGAGAAAAGAGCAGCCCCTTAAGCCCACCTTTACCCAACCGATCCCTCACACAGTTCTCCTTCAGCCATCCTACTTCAAGTTCAGCTCCAAAATCTCTATACTCTTCAGTCTGTCCCTACTTGACCCTGCCTCAAAATCAGCCACAGCCAAGAGGAGACATCTGAAGAGCTCACCAGCAGCCCACAGTTCCTCTCCCCCACTGTACAGAGCATACCATCGAGACACTGTGTAAGCTATAAAAGACATCTTCCTGGTAGAGCTGCAGGCAAGTTTCCGATAAGGGTGAAATGGGAAAAAAAAGAAGTTGCTGTAAAAGGCTATCTGCATCATCATCATTATCATTACCAATTAAATGCCAGATGCTTGAGCAGACCACTCTTACAGGCATTTTATAGTTAGATAAATCAAAAAACAAAAGCTCTTTGGGACAACATACTCTTCTACAAAATGTATCTTTAGATTTTAGAGCAAATAAACCAAACCTTGCACTGAGCAAAGCAAGTCTCACACCAATTTCACGTTAATATTACCATCTCGTGAACCTTCCTCTGTTCCTGATCAAAAGGGTGAAGCACTTGCAACCCACATATCTCACACACGTCTCCGTGGAGGTAGAGACAGCGCTCCCCAAAGTGGCACGCTCCTGCGGCAGCGTAGGGACACAGCTGCTCCCCGTCAGCACAGGAGCTTCCAGCCACCGCATCTTCCAGTCCGCTGCAAATTGCTTCCAAATACGAGTGGGGCTTCATTTCTAGGTTATCATTTTGGTCACTGCAACACACCACATCGCTTGTGGCACTGGGTTTCTGCTTCTCATCATTCAAGCCACACAGATCTTAGGAAACAGAAACACAGTATGAACCATATGTGACACTGCACAAAACCTGCACAAGAAGCTCCATATACTTTCCTTCCAATGACTGCCATTAAAAAAAAGTTTTCTTCTCAATGAAATCTCATCTCTAAGCCCCTTTTGCTCACAAAGCACAAGAATTTTTGCAACCTACCTACTGAAAAGTTTGATTTCAAGATTTCTTCAGCTGTTTTCTGTTTACAAATAAGCTAAAAAAAAATCTTCTTTCAGATTAGGGCAACTGGCCCATTCAGTGCAATGGTGAGAACAGGTGGGAACGGCGTGCAGGCGGCAGCGGGGCTCAGCTCCTCTGCCCTGCCCAGCAGGCACAGACACATCTCTCTGTCCTTGCGTTCCTTAGGGTTGCACAATCCTCCACTGAGCACATGCCAGGTACGCTGGCACAAAGCAGCCAGGCTTCTCACCATTTCAAATGCCCTCAACGTTGAGAACAAAATGCACAAAATTATCTGAGGGGCTGAGATATTTTAACCAAAAAACCCACATCAAAACAGAAAACCACCCTCAAAAATCCCCCCAAACAAAAATCATCCTTCTGGGAACACCTGGCTAAAAGCCAGTCAGCTAGACAGGGTCATTAAGGGGTAGTGACAGGCACAAGTGCTTCCAGGAAAGAAGCCTTGGTGGGTAGGAAGTCTGACTGCACCACCCCAGCTGTCCACAAAACTCAAGCAATTAAAGGAGAAAAACTACCTAAGTCCTATCAAGCATCGAGGAGGATGAGTAGAGCCCCGCTCCCACTCACTTCTGTCCCTGAGCACTAGTGTTTTCTTCTCCCTCTTGCCGGTCTCATGCAGTTTGCTCCTGATAAGGGGTGCGCTGTGCTCGGGGGGGTGGCGAGGGTTGTGCACCGCTGCTGAGGAGAGGGGAGGCGGCGCAGGGGCTGCTGCACCCCCCGGTGCAGGCAGTCTGATGTGATCATACCTGCAAAAGGAACAAAGACAAAACAAGTGTTACAAAGCCTGAACTTGGCACAGTGGCAGTGAATATATAAACAAAACTGAATAGCTATTTTTTTTCTTTTTTTAAAGGATTGCTCTGACAAGTTGACTGAACTGCTCAGTCTCTTTCAAAGCCAGACTAAGAGGTTTTTCAGTCTCAAAAAATGGATGCCTTTGAAAGCACCCCGATATTTTCTTCTCCAAAGATGTCCAGCACAGCTGAAAGAACATAATTCACGGGCATATTAAATTAGATCTTCGTCATCGCCTCACACAAACAGGTTTTCTGGCTTCCCCCCTGCAAGCAGCAACACTTAAGACTTTATGCTCCCATACCACAGGAGAAGATGCAATATTTGCATACAGGATAGGAAAGGACTCAAAACATCCAGTAAAAGCTACAGAAATACCCTCCAGCAGCAGAGCAGAAGCAGACAAGGCAGTGGAGAGCCTGGTTCCGTAAAACCATGGACGCACCCAAATGCTACAGTATTTCAGATGGGAACAAAAATATTTTCCATGCCTGTTTCTGGTCCTGTACTTAGGACCTGTAGATGCCCACAGACATAACATACGTGTGCATCACTTATGTGCATCAAGTGCCCCAAACTCCAGCAAAACAGCTAGAGTAAAACAGGAACATACTTTGCAGCCATTATTATGGTCCAGTCAGAGTATGACATGGTCCCCATGAATAACACGGCCGTCAGCAACATTACACACCACCAATTCAACGTCAGCAGCTAATGGAGGCTGCAGAAATCATTGATGTTCAATCTCCTGATCCGAGTTTGGTACCATGGACTAAGCAAAGGAAAGGAAAGGTAACTAAGCCATTGCAACCTCAGCAAGGCCATGAGATCCCCCTGTTGCTGTCAGATGAAGGTACAAACACAGGCTTCTTATCTGTGACCACAATCTTTCCATTACAGAGCCACTGGCTGCCCTGTGGCACAGCCCTGATGGAATGTATCGATGTTAACTAACGCATAGTGTTTACTAGAGCATTTCTCAAGGACTTTTAACCAGAAGACTTCAGGAAAAGATGTGGTACCACTCAGCTTTCCCACCAAACCTCGGGGAGCACAAGAACACTTTGCTCTAGGACAGACCTTAAAGTCCTTGAAATTGTGCATTAGAATCTGCATGAAGGAGGCTACGAGCTACATCAGGAGCATGGAGCGAAGCACTGCTGAAATGCTGGCGCTTCCAGCCACTTCAGTAATGCAGAAAGCAAACTGTGCTGCCAAATGCTACTTCATGTGAAGTGGCAGGCTGTTTTTGAATTTAATAGGTCGCCCTATAGTAAGAACCAGATAAAAAACATATGTGAAACCTAAGATTTAATTTCTACAGAATAAAATAACTGCTGAAGCCAAGACAGAGTAAAACTATTATATTGGATCTATACGCTGGTTTTAGTACTGGAAGAAAAAGTCCCTATTTAATATATTATTTCATTCACCTTGTCATCTTATCTTTTCTTGATCTTTTATTCTCTGGGGTTTAAAGTTGGCTGCATGTGGTTATTACCAGTTCTCCTGAACTCACTATTCCAAAAAGAGACGGGTCTTTACCTGCACCGAGCTCCATAGGCACACTGTCCCTTCTGGTAATACTTGCAGATAGTAGATGACTTGCTTGTAGATAAATCATGTGAGAACAGACACTTACTTCCCTCCCGACACACTCCTTGCATATAGTACCTGGGGGAGAAGTAGTTCTGGTCAGAGAAGTCTGGTTTGTAAACACGAGCATAAGAACGGTTTTACTGCCCAGAGGAAACTTCGAAAAGCGTTTCCATCCAAACCCGGCCTCGCTGCTTAGGCAGAACAAGGCTCCGCCATGAGGAGGCCTCGCACGAGGGAGCGCGGCAGTTCTCGGCACCCACAGCCCCAGCTGGGGGTGGTGGCCGCCGCCGCCCTCCTCCTCCCCTCCTTCCCTCCTCCCCCT